CTTTTAACGCCCTTTTAACACGGAAATTCGGATAGCCAAGCTTGTGTCGCCCTCATGTTGATGCTAGCAACTAGCAAGCAGGCTAGGTAGTGCTAGGAGCTTCGATTGGTTAATAACTACGCGATGTCGCAGAGTATTTGCATAAAGTTCAGCTTTCCCCAATTTTGGTCCCGCCCTATTCACGCTCCCTCACCCATGCTCGTGTTGTCCAACGGTCCCCCTATGGAGCGAGATAGCTGCCAAAAGGTTGAACATAGGAATCGTTAGGATCATAAGAAAATCCATTCATAAATTGTGAGGATCATAAGAAAAGCCATGTGTGAAATATGAAACATAAATGTTAAACTAGATCTGTAAACATACAAACCCTATGTTACAACTATGAATGAACATTTACATGTTCAATTCTTACTTTACGTCTCCATTTACTCCGTTACAGATCTTTTTTTATACGTACATTTTTTTGGCAGTAATGTGGCATCTGCAAAGGGCATGAACCGAATGTAGCTAGTCGAAGTTAGCTAGTCAATCAAGCAACTCTATCCCAGAAGATAGAGTTGCTTTGCAGCTTCCGGTTTCATTTCCAAAAGTCTAGAGCTTGTTTTGGAACTGCATTCAATAACGATATTATAACAGTAGAGGGCGTAGTATAGGCTTGGGCCTTCAGCAAATGACTTGTGTGAGCATGATAAAGACACAGAATAGCCTTGTCTAGTATAACCGCCCAAGCTGCAAAATAGAAAGTATATGATTTGGGCTAGGACTATTCCGCTATCTAAATATGCCATGCTGTTGTGTTATTTAATGGCCATATAATTACATAATTTATTTTTATAGGGCTACTGTGGTGATCATGTAACCTAATGAATCACACTTTTTCCAGTATTTGGGAGCACGGACAGTAGGCCTTATATTAGACATTTTGACTGTTGTATTAGTAAAATCTACTCTGTATGTAGGCTTGTTATAGCCATTTGCGTTGCACAACCCCATCACGCAGAGGCTATATCCATATCAATAAATGAGACAAAACAAAATATTGATTAAGTCTTGGCTATAACCTGTCTTGAGCGAAATAGCCAATGGGTCCCAAATGGTTAAGACTATCTATAGCCTATTCTTATTGCCAGATCTGTTTTCCCTATCAGCCACTGCACGTGCTTCAACTATTTTGTAATTTTTTTTATTTAGAGGCTATATTTATAGACCTGTGAGCTAGGGTCTCTTTTTAAGGAGATCCGTATAATAAAAACAGTTATAAAACACAAATAGAGTTCTAAAATGATTCCACAAGACACCAGTACCCAAAATGATAGCCTAAATTGCAATGCCTACAAGTTGAAGGCCTATTTTTTATTTGGATAGGCCTAAATTAAACATTGGATTATTAAATTGATAGGCTAAAGAACTTTGGAGAATTTTGAATACACACATTGATTTCAATAAACAAATGGATGACTGTTCTATTCTCTTTGATTTAGTTCCTATTGCAACTCAGACAAATGACAATGGATGGCATACTGACTGACTGAACGGAATGAAGGATTAATTAAATGTTCAAATATGTTGGAATGACAAGTTGCACACATTATGCATGCTCTGCACTTTATTTGGCTAGTAGGCAAATAGCCTACAATAGGGTATAATTACTCTATGGCTGCATGTCTCCTGTAGTACATCTTCTGAGGCTGAGGGGTGCTTTTCCAAAGGCGCATGGTGTTGTGGTGCCGCATGGAAATCACAAGCTCTTCAACTGGGCAGCAGTGTCGTGATGGAGGGAATAGCCTATACGGAGACTTCCTAAGATCACTGCAACAGAGTTATTGTAAAGTGTGGGAATAAGTTTATGCCAGACTTAGCCTATGTTTAACCTCTCCCTTGTTCATTTCAAAATGCATAGGTTCATGAACCGATTCATATAAATCATGTCAAATTATTTTAAATTCATATTAACCCCTCCTACAGAATATGCTTTGTCAAGATTTTGAGTGATTAAATAAATATCAAAATATTCCAGTGGTCATACATAATTCATAGATACATTACATTTACATTTATGTCATTTAGAAGATGCTCTTATCCAGAGCGACTTACAGTTAGTGAGTGCATACATTTTCATACTGGCCCCCCGTGGGAATCAAACCCACAACCCTGGCGTTGCAAACACTCTACCAACTGAGCTACACAGGACCAGATACACCAAACATCTATTATTATTCTGTTTTATTATTCCTGGTAGATACTACTGGTTATGATTGCAGACAGAGCCCAGAGAATGGGATGTTGCAATATTGAATTAGTCATATTTTGATACGGTGCGTGTATGGGGATGTCCACGTCACCCAGAGATATGCCCATGCTGTAGAGATACACCTAGTGGACTGAAACTTCACTGTTGTATGCATTATACAGCTAGTGCTATCTAGATTTGCGCTGGCAAACAAATCCATTGCATTAGCTACCTAAATGTGAAGTAAACTCAACTGAGGAGTAAAAGAGAATACCTCTTTCCGGTTTCCCTAACTTACTCGCGTAGCACTCCTCACAGGCCGTTCGGTGTACGTTTTTTTGGGGTTGTTGAGATTAAACTGCCAAAACTCTGAAAGGTATTATTGTACGTCAGAATTGCAACACAATATTTGTTCAAGCCCAAAATGTTAGTCCATAATCGTGACATGGTGTTTGTATGTTAACAGATTAGATTTTACATTTACTTTTCACGCATGGCTTTTCTTACAATCCTAACGATAAGTACGTTCAACCTTTTGGCAGGTGTCTCACTCCATATCCCCCGCCCACTTCGATTCCCTTCATTGAAATTGTAGTTGTTGACACAAACCGGTGCACCTGGCACCTACTACCATTCCCCATTCAAATGCACTTAAATACTTTGTCTTGCCCATTCACCCTCTGAATGGCACACATACACAATCCATGTGCCGTGTAGCTCAGTTGGTAGAGCATGGCGTTTGCAACGCCAGGGTTGTGGGTTTGATTCCCACGGGGGGCCAGTATGAAAATGTATGCACTAACTGTAAGTTGCTCTGGATAAGAGCGTCTGCTAAATGACTAAAATGCAATGTCTCAAGGCTTAAAAATCCTTCTTTAATCCTTCATCTACACTGATTGAAGTGGATTCAACAAGTGACATCAATAAGGGATCATGGCTTTCACCTGGTCAGCCTTATGGAAAGAGCAGGTGTTCTTCATGTTTTGTATAAGCAGTGTATATGGTCATTTTTAGATATACAGGGTAAAGTTGATAATTTCAAAACACGTAAAATACCCTGAGACTTCAAATCAAATTGAATTAGTCACATGCTTCGTAACAATGCAGAGAAGGAAAATAGAGATAATAGAAAAGTAAAATAAAAGTAACATATACACAATGAGTAACGATGACTTGGCTATATACATGGGGTACCAGTACTGAGTCGATGTGCAGGGGTACATATAACTGAATAAAGTGGCAGTAGCAGCAGTATAAGTGATAAGTGCAAAAACTGTAAATGCAGATAGTTAAAAAGTTAACCAAAGAGCTACCTGAACTAACTATTTAGCAGTCTTATGGTTTGGGATAGAAGCTGTTCGGGGTCCTGTTGGTTCCAGAATTAGTGCATCGGTACCTCTTGCCATGCGGTAGTAGTGAGCAGTCGAAGATTGGGTGGCTTGAGTCTTTGACCATTTTTCGGGGCCTTCCTCTGACGCCGCCTGTTATAGAGGTCCTGAATGGCAGGGAGCTCTGCCCCAGTGATGTACTGGGCCGCACGCACTACCCTCTGTACTGCCTTGTGTACTGTACTGCCTTGAGGCCATACCAAGCTGTAACGCAGCCAGTCAAGATGCTCTCAATGATGCGGCTGTATAACTTTTTATTAACGTCTACTGTACCTGGATGCCATCTCAAGGCTAGTTTCCGATAGGCCTTAAAATCAGTTGCGTCCCTTTTGACACAACACCTCGTAATTCTGAGTTCAAGCTGGTTCTGCTAGCTGAAATCCAGACTACTTGCCCTGTTGCTAATGTTGTTAGCTAAATTAGCTGGCTAGCTAAAAGGCTAAGCTAACAGTTCTCCACAAGTCCTCAAAACCAGAAAATCTGATTACAACCGTAACCTAATTTTAAGAATTAATATGGGCAGATTTAATAAAATTAATAGATTGTCCTCAGCTTGAACACCACCGCACATCGTGGACTCGTGTTATAACCACCGCACAATTATAGGTTAAAATTGCTGCCGATGCCTACACGCTCTAATATGACGTAATTTATTCTGGATTTATATGTACTTGCAATCCGGGTTCCTTGGGACGTCCCAACTCTGACATTACCAGGTTGAGGCTCAAAATATAAAAAGCCCACGGTTTAGGGTATGGACGTCCCAACGATTCCGAATAGAACTAAGCAAAGAAATGCTGTCGCTTAAATTCTGTTAATTGTGAATATCAATTAGGTGCCATCAACTTGTCCAGATAATTCTCAACATTTTAAATCCCATTTTGCTGTCGCCGGTACAACAATCTTGCTTGTTCATTGCTGAAGTTGTAAACAATACTAAGTCAAGACTAATTTAATACCAAGGTCCAATTAGGGTTTTTTCTTAACCGTGAGGAAAGGGTAGCTGGCGCATGTTATATAAATCACAAAGCTGTTTTATTTTTTGGCAGCTGAAACATTATAAAAAATTGAACCACATTGACATATTCCGAGACAGTCCTTCGAAGGTTGCTGGGGTAAACGGTCAATTAAACTCTGGGCAATCCTCCCACTTCACGGCCACAAACAAATTGTAAGGCTCTTTCCCAAATGGTCTTTACTCGCCTCCCTCTCAAAACATATTGGAGAAGAGCTAAGGTCTCTCCCCTTGGAACTCCAATGCGTTTTGAGAAATAAGCAACAAGAGAGGACAAGGAAAAGAGGATTTGAGGAAAGAAGAAATGAGAAAGCGCCTATGTAATCACTTCTCAGATGCGTTCTTCCAGAAGACCAAACAGTCTAGTCTAACGCTTCTGATTTCTCTGTCGTTTGAAAGCTTTGTGTTTGTTCTTCTTCACTACTTTCGCTGCGGGGGCCTCTAGCTCTATGTGGACTGGTCTCTCCTCGGCTGGCGTGGCGAACACGTCGTCCGTCACGTCCCTAGTCACCACCTCCTTGTTCTCCGTCCTCTTCAGTTTCTGGAGCTCCTTGACCATCTGTTTCTCTCTCAGCTTGGAGGCCGTGGCCATGCGGATCAGACGTCGATGCTGTGGGGAGGAGACAAATTATAAACCAGCACACAGTATATTGTTGCTCCCCAGTGCTTTATACATGCACCATGATAATATATAACATTGCGACATTGGGGGGGAATCAGAATTGGGTTGCCTTTGTAAACTCAGCCAAAATGTATCAACACAAAATGATCCGTTTCTTATTTTGTAATTGGACTATGGGTTCATTATGTCAGACCGCAATGATCTACTCAACTCCTGGTTTCACCAATCCAAATCTTATCGAGTTCCACTGGGGGTAAATTGAAAATATTACCGTGTTTGGAGACTCAAAGTGTGGGTTCTCGAAGAGTGTGGGGCCACCAAAGCTCCCCTGGAATATTTTGATGAGGTTCAAGACAAAGCGAGGTCCAATTTCTACCATTGACGCATCTTCCTCAATGATCTGTGGGACACAGAAATTAGTCGAAATGTATGATAAGTAACTTTGCATGTAGCCATTCAAGAACAGTAGCTACCTTTAAAACAATCAGATTATGTGTTTTATAAAAGTGCATTTAAAAATTATCTGAATATTCTCTTCCCAATGGAGTCACTCATGTTGGCCACATATGATCAAGATGGAGGGAACAAGCAAGTGAAACTCACCTGATAGTTTCTGAACCATATCCTGTTGTCTGTTACAGTGAACGTGAAGACGTGGTCCACAAAGGGTTGGCTTCTGGGGTGGTATTGAGGAGTTGAAAATGTCTACAAAAACAACAACGGAAGTGTCACTTCTGAACTGATCACATCACACGAGAAGCAAAACAAATAATTTCCCCTTTGAACAAATAATTACGCAGTAATGATAACGAAGCTAACCTGGATAAAGAGCTCCTTCAGCAGTGCATAATGGGGCTCCTTGTCAAATTGCTGTTGGAAAGAAAAGAAGCATGAACATAAAACTAAATTCATGAAATCGTGATGTGAGGCCCATATGAAGTAAGTTTCAAGTGGTTTGTAACACTAGAACATTTTGCCCATGACTGAATCTTCAGTACTCACAGGATCAAATGACAGCAGCGGTCTGGATCCTTTCAGGCAGTTCCCTGTCATTTTGAGTTCGGCGAGTGTGTGGACTACATAAAACAAAGGGGTAAAAAATTATTGCTTCGATTAAGAGCTTCATAGTAGCATTTCATTATTTTTCTGCCACTAGCTGTGGTGTCACAGTTGGTTGATGAGACAAATACCAATAATAAATATTGTCATGTCAAGGTGATGACACCCACCATTCTGAACCAAGAACTTTGCAGATGGTCCATGGGGAACATTTGCAACCCTAAAAGAAAATACAGACTCAATTCAAATCGTAAGGTTTTAAGAGACATGTCACTTTACAAAGAGATGGTTTAAAATGTTAGTGACACCTTTACTGATGTAAACCTAATGCTCACCACATGTAGAGGTCCTGCTTCTTCTTTGCTTCAAAGAATATGCATTTGTTGCAGTTCTTGATTTCACACACCTCGTTTATGACAAAGAGTTTGTCCTTTCTGTCCATTTTTGTGTCTGCAAGAGTAAAATCGTTTTTCCAGGGTTATAGCTAATAACTACATGAATTGAACAATATCACCAAACCACTCAAATAAGAAAACACAAATATGTAAATGGTAACAAACCTGCTTTAGTGTGTGGCATCATCGTCCTCAGGTCCTGCATCAAGTGTCGTGTTCTGAAGTTGATGCCTCTCGAAGAGAACACAAGAACTCGTTCTTTGTTTCTCCACTTGCCCTGGAAGACAAATCAATTTAATCAAAACATTGTTTCATAGCTGATAACTACTGTCCACTACAGTACATGTTGTTGGGTCGCTGTTTATATTACAACATAACTAGCTAGACAAATCAGCAACTTTTTCTAGACGGCAGTTAGCTAGCTACCAGTTAGCGTAGCCAGGCTTGCAGTGTTTTGCTAGCTATTTCATGTTTGACATGCACTTACCATTGACACGGGTGCTGGGACGCTGATTTCATTGTTTTGTTCAGTCTCTGTAATTTGAGGTTTCATTCCATTTTGTACAAATTTAACTTTCTTTGCTTTCACACCCGGCCCCTGTCCTCCACGTTTTCTCTTAAGCACCGACATTTTTGAGATTTGTGACGCGCAGGCGCACGACAGTGAACTAGGAAAAACGTGGGAGAAAAGCAAAATGGAAAACAGGCGCCATCTAGTGTAGCGGAGTTGTATTGAGAGAGCATTAGGGGCCTTCAGAAATAATTCACACCCCTTGACTTTTTCCAAATGTTGTTGTGTTACAGCCTGAATTTAAAATTGATTAATTTAGATTTTGTGTCACTGGCCTACACACAATACCCCATAATGTTGCAGATGATTGTTGACACATCAACCAGGATTAAGGGACAGGGTAATTTGTAACTTGTTTTGGTAACTTGTTTTGGTAATATTGGCTGTATTGGAGGGGGAGTGGTTTCACCTCTTTTTGGAGTGTTTAGAACCAGATTCTCAGGCTGAAGACTTGGCTCGACCATTGCTGCATGGAACGTGAGAGGTGGGTCAGTCACGAAAGAAGATGGCGTACACGGAAAAAAAGAAGAAAGCGGAACATATTATGAATAAATATGGAGGGGGGATTGCACACGCCTTCTAGAAGATCTGGTGAAGGAGAAGATGGCGGATAAGGAAAAAATGAGAAAAGTGGAAGATGTTTTGAGGGAATATTAAATGGAAGATCGCACAGAACTTTTGGAAGAGCTAGAGAAGGAAAGTGAACGTGACGAGAGTGAGGGTGAATTAATTGTGGTGGCAGGTTCAGTGATGACCGCCAAGAAGGAGCTGAGTGTAGAGGGAAGTGGTGTGTCTGTGACGCCCGCCGTTTGGTGCCATGCAGATCCAGTGTAGAATGTGGGGAAAAGTAGAAGACATTGTCTGTCCTGCTGAGTTTTGAGGTAGAGTCTTTGCCCGACAAGGTCAAGTTAGGAAATGTAAGTTATCCCATGAGAGCTTTTGTTCCGGAAATACTACGGTGGTTTATGGGCATGTTGCAGTAGTGTGCAGGAGGGAGATTTCAAGATGTGAGAAGTGTGCAGGAAGGCATGAGACGAAGGAATGGGTAGTATCGGTGGAGAAAGTTGTCTGTGTTAGCTGTGGGGGTGCCCATGGGGCTGGAGATCGGAGGTGTCTGGTGAGAGAAAGGTAGGTTGAGGTTGCCAGGGTTAGAGTAGTACAGAGTGTCTTATGCCGAAGCAGTGAAGAGAGTGGTAGAGGAGGATGGGTAGTTGAGTGGTAGTGTTCTATCCTCTCAGACCGTTGGTCTGGAGTAGGATTAGATAGGGTTAAATAGTGGAATGGGGTGGTGAGTTTTTTAAGGAGGGCTAATAGCTGGCAGGGCAATTTACATTTTCCCAATTTTGTATTACCATATCAAGAATTGAATGTAGGTAGGCCATGCATGGCCTCACACACCAGTACAGTAAAGATTTGGCATGGGTCCTCAGATCCTCAAAAAATTCTACAGCTGCACCATCGAGAGCATCCTGACTGGTTGCATCACCGCCTGGTATGGCAACTGCTTGGCCTCCGACCGCAAGGCACTACAGAGGGTAGTGCGTACGGCCCAGTACATCACTGGGGCCAAGCTTCCTGCCATCCAGGACCTCTATACCAGGCGGTGTCAGAGGAAGGCCCTCAAAATTGTCAAAGACTCCAGCCACCCTAGTCATAGACTATTCTCTCTGCTACCGCACGGCAAGCGGTACCGGAGTGCCAAGTCTAGGTCCAAAAGACTTCTCAACAGCTTCAACCCCCAAGCCATAAGACTCCTGAACAGCTAATCATTGCTACCCGGACTATTTGCACTGCCCCCCTCCCCCCCACCCCATCCTTTTTACGCTGCTGCTACTCTGTTAATTATTTATGCATAGTCACTTTAACTCTACCCACATGTACATATTACCTCAACTACCTCAACTAGCCGGTGCCCCCGCACATTGACTCTGCAACGGTACCCCCCTGTATATATAGCCTCCCGACTGTCACTTTATTTTACTTCTGCTCTTTTTTCTCTCAACACTTTTTTTGGTGTTGTTTTATTTTTACTTTTTTTGTAAAAAATAAATGCACTGTTGGTTAAGGGCTGTAAGTAAGCATTTCACTGTAATGTCTGCACCTGTTGTATTCGGCGCATGTGACCAATACAATTTGATTTGATTTGATTTGAGTAGGTGGCGGTGTATGCACCTAAAACTTGGATGCAATCCGCCAACCAAATCCTGAAGAAGAAGAAGAAGAAGAAGAAGAAGACGAGGACTTGGAGCACAATTAGCAGGAGAGCAATGGCGGAAGCCCTTCTTGATTCTATTGGCGCAAGTGAAGATAAAGGAAATGAGTGGAATACTGTAACATCTAAGAATTGAGCTAAAGTTCTAAATCAAGATAAGCCTCGGTATGATAATGCCTCATTCCTTGTTGAAGTGCGATTCATGAGCAAGGATGTTTTTTTGGGAAACCCGTTTGCGGTCACAAAGATGGTGAAGGATGCATTGGGAGAAGTGGAGTCAGTCAGAGTGACCAGGATGTTGATTTCATGTGTGTCAAAAGAAAAAGGGATGTACGCATGAAGTGGAATGCTAGGATTATCAGAGTAGGGCACCGATAAAAGGTGTCATATCTGGCATCTCAATGGATATTGAGGCATCATGGTTTAAGATGAACATGCCAGGAATAGTTGATTCCCGTCGCTTAACTCACACTCTAAATGGAAAGAAGGAGGATTTGTGACTTGTTTTGGTAATCAGTGTCTGTATGGGAGGGAGAGTGGTTTCTCATCTCCTAGGCAATCAGCAATTAGTACAGGGAGGCGTGCTCATGGCACAACGCCTCTCCCCTATTTGACCTAGATATTTTGTGTTTATGTATTGATATGTAGGCTATGTGTGCCATTTTTAAATTGATGTAGTTCTGTCCTTGAGCTGTTCTTGACTATTAATGTTCTGTAATATGTCATGTTTTGTGTGGACCCCAGGAAGAGTACCTGCTGCTTTCGCAACAGCTAATGGGGATTACCAAATACCTCTGCTTGGCAATTAGCAATTAGTGTTAGTACTTCAGTCTCCCCTGGTTTCTCAGCAGCAGCTGTAAGCGTCGATCATGTTGGCAAAACTAAGACCGCCGCCTAAACGAAGACGGTTCTGCCGAGTTGTTCTGCGCAGTTCTTCGAGGAAGGAAAGAGAGGAAGGCTCCACACCACTCTCTCACTTGAGTATCTTACCTACTTATTTTCTGATTATCTAATTTTGCTCTTTTTTGGCTTTGGCAACTATGTGTATTTTCTATAGCTGTTCGCTCCTCTCCCTGTAGGCTTTAGATGCTCCCCACCCCTTGACTGCAACCCTTCTAATTTAGTGTACCCTGCACGCACAACCCATGTGGAATTCCGGGTCTCTGGCAGCATTTGGAACTGCCGATCTGCGGTCAAGAACGTTCATCTCAGTCTACAGTATGCTGCCCTTTAGCCCTGACGGAAACATGGATCACCCCAGCTGCTCTCTTTTCATCGGACTACGTTTTCTCTCATAGTCCAAGAGCATCTGGTCGCCAGGGTGGTGGCACAGGGCTATTCATTTCTCCTAACTGGAGATTTTCTCTTTTCTCCCTCTCTCACCTGTCTATCTCCTCATTTGAATTCCATGCTGTCACTGTCACTTGTCCACTCAAGCTTAACATTGTTGTCATCTACCACCCACCAGGTGCTCTTGGAGAGTTCCTCAGTGAGCTTGATACCTTGATAAGCTCATTTCCTGACGATAGCTCACCACTCTTCGTACTTTGCGATTTCAACCTCCCAACATTGGTCTTCGATTCATTTCTTTCCAACTCTCTTTCCCCTCCTTGCATCTTTTGACCTCACCCTTTCCCAATCCCCTCCAACTCACAAGGCAGGCAATATGCTTGACCTCCTCTTTACAAGAGGCTGTTTGCCTACTAATCTCGCTGCAACCCCCCTCCAGGTCTCTGATCACGACTTTGTTTCCTTTTCTGTCTCCCTTTCCTCCAACCCTAGCCACTTAGCCCCTACCCAGATGGTCATGCGCCATCGCAATCCTCTCTCACTACTCTCTCCTCTTCTATAATCTCTCCCTTCTGCTAAAACCTTTTCTATCCTGTCTCCTGATTCTGCCTCTTTCACCCTACTCTCCTCCCTGTTCGCATCCTATGACTTGCACTGTCCCCTTTCCTCCCGGCCGGCTCTCCCCTCCTGCTCCGTGGCTGAGTGACTCATTGCGAGCTTACAGAACAGGGCTGCGGGCAGCTGAGCAAAAATGGAGGAAAACTGAACTTCCGGAGGACCTATCATCCTTTCACTCCCTCCTTTCTATCTTCTCTTCCTCTGTATCCACTGCTAAAGCCACTTTCTATCACTCTACATTTCAAGCTTCCGCCTCTAACCCTAGGAATCTATTTTCCCCCTGCTTAATCCTCCACCCTCTCCTCCTCCCTCTCTGCGAATGACTTTGTCAACCACTTTCGCTCCTCATTCACAGCCTATTGAGTCCACTGGTCCCACTCACACAGAACTACCCTACGCCTTGACGTCTTTCTCCCCTCTCTACAGAATAAATCATGCGACTAGTGAGGTCTGGCCGCCCGACAACCTGCCCGCTCGACCCCATCTCCTCCGCCCTTCTCCAGACCATCTCTGAAGACCTTCTCACTTCCCTCATCAACTCATCCCTGAACACTGGTTGCGTCCCGTCTGACTTCAAAATGTCCCGAGTGGCTCACCTCCTCAAGAAACCAACACTCGACTCATCTGATGTCAAAAACGATAGACCTGTATCCCTTCTTTATTTTCTTTACAAAACACTTGAGCATGCTGTCTCTGATCAACTCTATCTTTATCTCTCTCAGAACAATCTTCTTGACCCTAACCAGTCAGCCTTCAAGATGGGTCACTCAACCGAGACTGCTCTTCTCTGTGTCACGGAGGCTCTCCGCACTGCCAAAGATGACTCTCTCTCCTCTGTTCTCATCCTCCTAGATCTATCCACTGCTTTCGACATCGTGAACCATCAGATCCTCCTCTCCACCCTCTCAGGGCTGGGCGTCTCAGCCTCTGCACACTCTTG